GTGTGTGTGTGTGTGTGTGTGTGTGTGTGTGTGTGTGTGTGTGTGTGGGTGCGTGTGTGCGTGCGTGTGTGTGTGTGTCATTTGGTGCTGCTGCTAACTGATATGTCAGAAAATCAATTAATTACTTTTAAGCGGCAGTTAACTGCATCCGCACAATACACCCCATGAATTATAGATGAAGTGTGTGTGCATCTGTGTGTGTGTGTTTGTGTGTGCGGTAGAATCGGCTACTCTGTTAACTAGAGACAATTGCTAACTTCTCCGTCATTGATCAATTGATGAGAGTGCTTCGATACAAATCTACTGAGCTCTGAAGTGTCTGAACTGACTCTTCCATGTCTGCTTTGGTGTGTGTGTGTGTGTGTGTGTGTGTGTGTGCGTGTGTGTGTGTGTGTGTGCGTGTGCGTGTGTGTGTGCGTGTGCGTGTGTGTGTGTGTTTCTAATTTAAAATAATAGCAATCCAACCTTTTACATTTGCAGTTCTTATTACTGGAGGGGATTTCTTAAACCTCCACATCATTTTTCCTTTTCCCCAAATGTGCTGGATCACATAATGAACAGAGGATCTGATGAACATGATCAGAGACAGCCATGACTAAGCACAAAGATGTAATAAGACACAATATACCACCAAACGCTCCATTGGACTGTTGCTCTTTCATTAAAGATGATGATTATAATTATAGGAAACTTCATTGAACACATTTCTCACAGGAGACATAAAGTGCTGCTCCTTAAAATCATGAAACAACTGTAGAAAGTTCTACATCACACTGAAATGTGTGAGTATCAGCTTCAAAAGGATTTAACAACAACGATAACGAAATCCTAAATGTGTGTGAAACAATAACTGAGCTCAGTGTTTGGACAATGAGACGCATGTTTCAGTGAATAATATTACTGACACTGATGGCCCATGAGTTATGGACATGTGTGTTCATGGGATTGATAGTGTCTTTGAGGCTATTGAAGGCAATTTATTTATGAAATGTGACCTTTGATTCTTGGAACTTGTTAATACTGGATTAAGCACAGGAATTTAATTTATCTCTTTCCAAATCCTAAATTCCCTATCTACTTTAACATTAGAGTATTCAATGATCTAATAAATTACATTTTCATCTTCTAAATTCATATTTTCAACTGTAATTCCATCACTTTCCTGTTGCCCTTATATCTGTATGCACAATTCATTAATAAAAATGAATCAGGCTTTAAAATCATTTCAGGGTATAACAATCTGATTTGATCACTGAATATTTTCAGACACTTTTACTAAATACTTTGGTATAATTTTGGTTTATTCATCAAATTCTTTCTCTCTAAATAATAAAGAGTTTTAAAGGAAGATGTTCAGGTATTCACCACAACAACATCCTAAGTTTAAATAATAATAAATACATAAATAATAGTGAACTCAATATGAACTTATGTTAAAACATGTTTCTGTTGAACCTGGGAACTCATCTGTCCACCTCAACAAAGGATCCTGATGGACTCGGCATAACACACTACATGACACCAGCAGGTAACACTCTGTTAACAAGTCCAGGTCCTTCTGTGAGATCAGGCTGCCTGTGTCCATCATTGTGCTGCACACGGCACAGGTCTCAGGGTAGTCTGGTACCTCGGTGTGCAGCCTGTGGCCTGCAGGTCTTCATCCAGCAGCTCACCATTGTGTTACCTCATTAGGGGATAGATAGTGACTCAACAGACATTTACTGAAATAAAAACCTTCAAGATTGCCACTTTAAACTACGATCAGAGCACCAGATCGGATGTATGTTTATAGATGCTTTAATTCCAGTGATGAAGTGTTAAAGGTGCTGATGAGGAACCAGAGGAGGTCTTCTTTTCCCCAGACTCTCCCCATCCCTCCATCGATCCCTCGCTCAGGGTGGCAGCGTGTGTGTGTGTGTGTGTGTGTGTGTGTGTGTGTGTGTGTGTGGTATTGATCCTCACCGTGCCACTGTCACTGGCCTCAGGGTGGCCTCAGCTCAGGGGACGACGGGGACAGACAGCCGCTGGCAGAGAGAGAGGGGCGTCACTTCTTTTTCCTCTTCATGTTTATAGTGTAGAACTGAAACTGGATGTTTATGACCCTGAGACTCTTGTCCCTGCATACAACAAAGTGCACCTTCATGGAGCATGGCACATTCTTTTTCCATTAGTTACACTGCAAGGGACGGCTGTGAGAAAATACAAGCCGTGTCAAATACAGCAATACGTACATTGTAATTTATAACAAGTAGGAGGCCGGTTACACTGAAGCCCGTCCCTGGTGAGCTTAATATGAGGGCTCTTATTTTACACAGGAGGAACCCCTGAAAACCTGAAAATCACATTCTGGGGGAATCTCTAAAATGAAGAAATTAATTTAGTATTCATACTCCAAAACATTTTAGCATTGTGGAATGGTGAAAGGCGAGGATGAGCACAGCGATGTGTCAGACAGCGAGCAGCTGCATGGATATTACACAGCACACATTGTAGATATAGGTTGAATACAGTAATACAACTCTGTGGTCGTCTTCTTCATGGGAGTCTCTAAAGTCCAATAAACAATAATCCATATGCAAAATAGAAGTCCTTACTTATCCAAAGGATGAACTTTCATCTCTCCAGTCTAATGTGGACTACACCCTCACTTTGTGTTAGCAGATCATTATGAAAGGGCTCCTGCTGTACCAAACCATGCGTCTGCCTACCAGAGCACCGTAGTGCGGTTTAGAGCGGAACCACATACAGCACGAGCTGAGCTTTGTGGGCCTGGTTTGGGCCCACTGTGAACAAATACCTCAGACAACCACTGTGGCTCAACATGAGCCAGTAACACACACTGTTGGTCTGAGGTTGCCATTGAGGATTACAGGGCTGTCGCTCACACGTGTCAGTGTACACACACAGTCTGTCTCCCTCTGAAACACACACACAGGGAGCTCTGTGGTGATGTCACCAGCCAAAGGGCTTCTGGGAGAGTCAATGTGGGGAGCTCACTGTCCACCAGTGTGTGTGTGTGTGCGTGTGCGTGTGCAGTGGTCACCTTGAGGTTTAGTTCATCTCTAATCAGCTTTAACCAGCAGAGAGCAAATGTTGTGTTAACAATAACGTTATGAATGAACTTATGTTGAAGTAGTAGATTAGGGGGATCAGAAGGGGTTAAATTAGGGACAGGAGACGAGGTCATGTGACCTCCAGCGCATTACATTCAGTCTCAATGAACAGATTGATACTTCTAGTTGTATTATTTCCTGCTGACTTGGCGAAAGGTTTTGTTTGGATCCTGTGTGCAGCAATGATCCGCCAGGTATCTACTATTTCATGTTTTATTGGCTATTGATCAAATCTGGGTTTAGTCTGATTTTCGGGACAATCAGGACAGGGTTCGGGAGGACTGCTTGTTATTCGGGACTGTCCCACATTTTCCGTGGTGTCTGGTCACCATTAACAGAGTATTATAGAAACACAATATGTGGGTCAGTATCCAACATCTTCTTTAAAACAGGTAATATACATATTTAGTATTAACAAAGTTGAAAATAAAGTCTTGAAGCTCAATTGATGAAACATTTGTCTGTAAAATATAAAACATATTCAAACCCCCCCGGCTGGTCTGGACGCCATAAACAATTCATTCATTCAATTCATTCAAACTCATTTAAGTTAAGCTGTTGTTTAAGACAGGACTGTAGTTAGAACGAGTTTGTTGGTTTTTAGCTTTTCTAGCTAACTAGCGCATCAGAGGCAAAGCAGCCAGTTTCTATTAATGTCAGAGCTCCACATAACATGGCAGTGATGGCTAGCTTGTCACTAGCAACATCTGTATCCATCTGATTTATGAACACGGATCCAAAACGTAGTGAATGGACAATGCAGCCATCAGCAGCTTCAGTACAAACTAACTCATATCACTCAAGTGTGTGACCTCAATTTTCAACCAGAACTTCCAAATAGCAAGAAAAGGGGGAGGGGGAGAGGGAGGAAAGGAGGGATGGAGAAAACAGGAGAAAAATCATTTGAGTAGCTAAATGAAATTAGCAGCTTTAAAGAGCCTGAGGGCAAAGTGGAGTCGTGTCCCCTGTGGCTACGCTTTAGAGAAGGAAGGGAATGAATTAAGCTTGACTGGCTCCTCGCCTCTTACTCCCTCACTCTTTTCTGCTTTTTACTAATATGTAGGGTGAGATGGGGGGGGAGGGGGTATAAAAGCCGTTTGAGAAGGTGAGGACAGGCTGGAGCTCTTCTTTGTCGAATGAGTTTTCTGAATCTCTTTGAAGTGTTTTTGTTGACTTTTAACTTTGGAATCCTCGACAACAAAAAGTTAAAGACACACCTTATTTATTTGTTCCTTCTTTTATTTTTTCTATTTCTTCCCATTTCCCTCTTGCTGTTTTCCCTCTTTGTCTTTTCATTTTTACCCTTGATACCCTCTGCTCTCTTCCCCGCTGGGTGTTGGAAATTTGGCCCCAGCTGTTGCTGCTTCTGCACCCAGGATTGAAGCATGAACCCTGGGACGTTCTCCACCTCTGGCCCCCTGTCCTGGGCCATGTACCTGATGAGGAAGGGCCGGACAGGCAGCGGACTCTTTGGTAAAGTGCATTCTTCTTGACACCACTTGGTTATCATCATCCCCATCATGTCTGGTCTTGTGGCCGTTTTCTGTTTGTATTATTTTGAACTCAATATTAATCAGTGTTTTAGTTATTAATTTACCTGTTGTGGTGTAAAAACATTGCCTTCACATAATTTGTGGCTATAATAATCCATGTTAATCTTTGGTGACTGCGTTGTTCTGAGAAGCTTGTCATGCTGTAGTCCTCGAAACACTGAACACTTGAATGGCACTTTTTCTCTTGAGGTGTTTGACATGATGTTGAGCTTCTCGTACATGAAGTTGGTAGTTTGAAACACTTCCACTGCAGCGTAAACTGACCTAACAACGGAAAAGACTTCTCCAGTCATTCTCATCCCTGAACTATTCCACCACACTTCTCAACTTCAGTTCACTGGATTTCTAAGACTTTATCGAGGCGATATAATTAATCCTTGAGGGAGTCCTGGAGTCCTGGATGGGTTCTAGGAGTTCTTTGGGGAGTTTTAGGTGCTACTCAATCATCCTGTCACAGATAAGCAACCGCACCTTTTTAGTTGACCTTACAAACAGTAACGAACCAGCCTGAATCCATTCGGACTGTAAACTCAGGGAGTGGTTATACTTATACTCAGATATTGGTCTTCTGGTTGGTGATTATTTTTGCATTTTATTTTGAATTTCTGCAGGAAATCCTGAAAACAACTTTGACTAGTTTTGAGTTTTGAAACAAAGATAGTAAATGTTTGGGCTGTTTGAAGGCTTGTAGCAATATGTGCTGAGATGATGCTGACAATTCTATATCGTATGCCATTGGTTATTGCCAAGTAACATATCCTTTGTTAAAAATGTGAAAGTATCCATAGACAGTAATACATTCCTCTAGTACTAGCCCTCGATGGACCAACACTTCTAAATGACAGTAGAATGACATTTAGCTGCGTAGCCTTCCTACATGGTGCTCTTATTCTGTGGAAACCTTTCTTGGGCATATCTTCAGTTTGAGGAATCGTATTTGTACTGCAGCTGATAATATGAAGCAATGCTGGTATCAATAACTTTGATAGGCTGGGTATTGATTATGGATCAGAGGACAATGACCAGCTCACATTACCAGTCAGTCAGTGGGAAACGCTGGCTGAGTGAAATCCAACTCCTCTCCCTCTGCCATGTATTTTCTCTCCTTCTCCTCTTCTGTTTTATTTCTGTCTTTAAACGCTCACCATCTCATTTTGACTATTTACCCCAACACACAGGGTGTAACCTTGTAACATGTAAAGGACTGTATAGCTGCACAGCTTTGTTCAAAACTGACAATATTCATTTTTATTTTAAGAGATTGATGAATACATGCATTGCATCTAGTTATGAAATAAATTATGACACATTTTCAGCTGAGTATTAAACATTCAGACATTTTGTGGCAACATCTCAGGATACACACGTATGATGATGCATGACGATATGAATTGCTACGAGCATCTAAACTCACTTTGTTTCTATAGAATCTGTGTGCATACTTGGCATAAGGCCTCACAGATATATAGTTTCATCCTTCACTCTTTGAATTATTTATAAGTGTGCTTCTATGAGGAATAAATGTCCAGTGTCAGATTTAATGACACTAAGTTTGATGAAGTTGCAGGTTGACAGAAGTCATTTAGCTGCAGGTTTCATAAGTTGTGCGTGTAGCAGCAAACCAGCCAGGGAGCGTAAGAGAAATGTGTTATTAGCATGCTTTCACTGTTCATCTTGAATCCAGGTTTTTATGCAGTTTAACAATCTGTGACAATCAGTGAATTATTGGCAAACGATTGTGAGGCGTTTGAATTCGTCTGATCTTTGGATAACAAGTTCAAAACAAAAAGACAAATACTGGATGAGGAAGTGAAAAATAGATATTTCCAAGGGCAAATCACGTCACGCGCATCTAAGGCCGGGACCAGAGTGGAGGCATTTACATATTTTATCATCCCCCTTTGGCTACAGAGGGATGGATGCAGAGGCAGACTGGCATTTCGCTAAAACTCATCCGACAGTGTGTTGATTTAACTCAGATCCAATCGACTGACTCACAAAAAGGCCTCATGAAACAGGCAGGTGCACAGACTGACCTTTAACAGTACAAAACTGTAAACTTTGATGATTTTGCAAAGTGGGAACCAAAAACTACCTTTAATGTGTACAAAAAATATATATTTTTTAAAAATATATATATATAAATGTTAGAATAAAAATCGACCACATGTAATAATGTTGTAATAACTACTGAATACTTTTAATACCACTGAATTTAAAGCTAGATTAATTTTAAACATTCATAAAATGCCGACTGACCAGCCTGCTCTGCTGATGGGGACCATGAGGTACGAGATACGTTCAGATGAGCAGCTACAAACCCCACACACTGGAATGCTCTTTCTGAATTTGTGAACCAGGAAAAAAATCTATTTGATTTATTCACAAACTGGAAAATTCAGAGAGGAATTTAAACCACAAATTCAGATATATAATATTTCAGTGCATTTGATTCAGTGGTATTTCAATTTCAACTTATCCATTATTTTCTATTTGCTTTTATTTATATTTTAATATGAGTCAATCCTCACATCATTTATCTGTTTATTTTATTTCATTTCATTAGGGGTTTTATTTTGTGTTGTTGTTTTGTTATATGTGGTTTTCAAATAAAAACAAATTAAATTCAATACATTTTAAGTCTTAAAACTAGAATAAGCTGAATCCACCTCAGTTTATCGGTTATTTTCTATTTGCTTTTATGTATCCTTCAATATGAGTCTATCCTCACATCATTTATTTGTTCATTTTGTTTTATATTATTAAAGGTTTTATTTAGTGTTTAGTTTTAAAATAAAAATTCAACAATTTCCAATTAGAAATAATTGGAAATATTTACTTTTTAAAATATTGTTCCACTAAATCATCATCATTTAAATCAATGTCTTGCTGAAATATTTATTTTAAATGATGTGGTTTAGAATACTTAAAATCATAAATAATATAAATATCATATCTACATCAGTAATGCTGTGATATTGAACAATATGTTTTATTTGTATTCAACCAGGAGAGTCAACATGTCTCTCTTTGTACTGGACAAGTTACCGACACTCAACATCACACAAGTCACACATTTATGTGCCACAAAAAAGAATTCAACATAAATGCAATTTCAGAATCATGAGTACACTTTATGATACAGTCAGAAACATAAAACATAATCATAAAACAATGTAAATACACAATAAAATAATGCTAGAGCTGTCTCAACCCATTAGAATGAATAACAATAAGTCATAAACATGCTGGTGAATCCATGACGCGGCTCTCTGTCATGATTCACATCACCGACTGCCCCCTATCGTCTGTCTCCGGTACCGACAGCCCGAGTTAAAAGCACCGAGCCGGCGTTATTTCTGAGCGGACAAACCGGGAGTTGAGACACAGCCGGTTGTTGAGGAGGACACCAGACATATGTTAATGTGCACCTCTGCGTGAACATCACAGTGTGTATGTTGACTTTCAGAGGAAGCTGTCACATTTTGCTCAACGTTACGTCGTTATTTGAATCCGGGGAAACAGTGTGAAAGTCGGGCTCACTGTTGTCTCCACGCAGCCACAGATAGAAGTCCTGGTCCCGCGTGGTCTCACCTCGCGGTGTCTGACTTATCACAGCGATGAAGTCCGTTCAGCGCACGAGGAAGTGCTGCTCCGCTCCCTCACCACATACCCCGCCTCCTCCCGGACGGACATAACACTGATTGGTCAGTCCCCCACTCGGACAGCCAGCGGCGAGCCTCTCCATTGGCTGAGAGCTGAGATGCAAATGCGGACGGTCTGCCGGTAAAAGTCTGGCGCCGTTAGCCGGGATGTCCACTCATGTAGCGGGGAGGGAGAGAGACATAGCCGGGCAGGAGAGAGAGAGAGCGCAGCTTGTAACGGTCCTGAAGCATCATATTTAAATCAGGAGGATCCGAGATTGAAAGTTAAAACTAGTTCAGGTTTAGTTTCCTGTTTCCTTAAAGTCTTGTCAGTTCTCTTCCACTTTGGTGCCAAACATGTGGAAGCTTCACTTCGGCTGCGAGGAGGCACGAGGAGCGTTGAAGACGTCCCAACACCCATCACCAGTCTGAGGGACTTCTCTTCTGCTCCCCAGTGGTGGAGCTCTGGACGTCGTTTCGGTTTCGGGCTTTTTCAAATCCGGCGCGTCTGGACGGAATAAAGCTCCGCAAGCAGGCGGTTCATGTTTCTTCTTCTGTTTACGGGCAGACAACAAGAAGTCGACAACGTGACAAACTCTCGACACGTACACAGAGAACATTCTGCAGCTCGCGCTGTCAACAAGAGACATCGGGAGGTTTACGGGGAAGATCGGGAGAGTCGCGTGTCTGTGGACGCACTGTGGCGCACAAATGGTGTTTCTGTGGGACGCAAAATACGGTACGAGGCATCTCTCTGACGCTTTATTATACGAGTGTCTTTGCTCACATAATATATATATATATATATATACACATACATATATTTATACACATATATAAAGTCATGAATGCATCCCCTTCTCTCTGTTATGATGCTCGTTATCAGAGGATGCGTGAGTGGAGGTGGACATGAGAACAGCTGTGGTGTCGGGAGGTCACATGTACTTCAGATATACCTCAGTTATAGTATTATAGTTATAGTATTATAGACATTAGTGTTCTTATATAATCTACTCTAAAGTAGTTAGGTGCAGTGTGACGTGTTCTACAAAATATGATTCACAAAGATGTTTTCTATAATAACAAGTTAAATATCTTAACTATAGTCCCCTGTATACTGCAGTATATCAGTACTTATCCATATTTATAACATTTGGTAAAATAAAGAATTATTGCCATATTAATGCTCTTATGATGTCTTTGAACATATGGTGAGATTTTTAGCTGAGGGGCAAAACTGGTTTAAAAATATATCGCATTTCTATATTTATCTTAAATATAATGTAGTAACGCTGCTCTTGTTTACTTTTTCTCCCTTTTCTTTAAATTCAAATGACATCATCATCCTTTGAGATGGAGTCACAAAGGATGATTTTTATTAAAAGAGTTTCATTTATAGTGAGTGAAATTACGTTTTCAGGTAATCCGCCGCTCCGCTGAGTGTGAGGAACATTTATTGAACATGATGAACATTTATTGAACATGATGAGCATTTATTGAACATGATGAACATTTATTGAACACTGCCTCACTAACAAACTAACTTTCAACTGGTACCTTGATTATTATACTTTTATTATTTAAATAGTCAAAGTTTCTCTAAATACATTTTTTTCTTTTTCTCTTTCACACTAAGAGATAAAACTGTCTCATCTTCTTTTCTCAGATCATTCAAAAATATCACGTACGACTCCAGATCTCCACAAGAGTGAATGCACGTTGTAGTTGCCGTGGGTCGGCCCCTGAACTGAACTGTTTATGGGATTATTTTCTGTGAAGTGAATTCAAACATTCTAAATGTGTCCGTGGCTCCTGTGTTGAACCAGCAGCCGGTGGCTGAGCACTCAGTGCCGCCGCAGTGCAAGGGTTTCAGTCACACTGTAAGATAAACTCCACACCGCCGCATGTGGCTTCAATTGTGGGTTGGCTGACTGACAAACCAGCAGAGCCACAGACAGACAGACAGGCAGACAGACAGACAGGCAGGCAGACAGACAGGCAGACAGACAGACAGGCAGGCAGACAGACAGGCAGACAGACAGGCAGACAGACACACAGACAGAGAGATTATTTATCACAGTCCCTCTGAGGCTTTCTTTATTCTTTTCTTTATGGTGTTACATGAATTGAAGCCTCTTTGTTGATAGCGTGCCACTTCTCTCCTAAATGTTCATTTGAAGCTGAGAGAGCAGAAGTGTTGCTGCTGTCTTCAGTTTCATGACTACACTCTGTGGTATGGGAGTCCGTGTGTGTCATCATGTGCCGTATATACATGACTTTTACCGGTCGTTGAGTCTCATCTGAGTGCTCGTCTTTACGTCCTCTTTCTTTGACACAAGTTTTCATGATCCTGTGATTCTTCAGCTGAATCCTTTCTTCTATTAAATGTCACAAAATAGTGGCAAATATCCCCTAAAGAGCGCAAAATGGATGTCTTCAAATGTCTTGTGTTGTCCAACCAACAGTCCCAGACCCAAAGATATTCAATCAGTTATTATAGACAAGGAACATATTCCCATTTGGAACCAGAGCCTCTGTGCAATGAAGCGCTCTGTGAGGTTCACCGTCTCTCATATTTATCTGCATTCATGGCAGAACATCATCTGGAGGTATTTAGAGCAGCACAAAGATGAACTTTAACTCAACTAACCTCGTGTATTCTCTCTCAGACCCAGCCCCGGGCCGGCGCTACACCCCCCCCTCCACCACCCTGGCCTCGGGGGGGAAGATGGCCGAGGCCCTGCCTCTGGGCACCCAGGGGGCCGGAGGGGCCGCTCTGGTGGGCAAACTGCGCATGGCTGACCGCGGGATGGTGGAGGTACGATGACATGCAAGTCACCGTGTTGAATGTATCCCCTGATGTAAACCTTCAGTTGAGTAACGGTGGCGTCTCTACAGGTGATCTCAGATCATCCAGGTGAGCTGTCCAAGACTGACAGTCCCAACTTCCTCTGCTCGGTGCTGCCCACACACTGGAGGTGCAACAAGACGCTGCCCATCGCTTTCAAGGTGTGTGTTGCTTTACATTTACTGACAGCTATAAGCAGCCATAAATAATAATGCTTCACGACAATAATCATAGCACATTATAAAGCCTTTTATAATGACTTACAAGGTCAATCATCATAATACTTTGATGTACGTATTTATTTTACATGATTTTGCTGATGATATCTTTTCACTTTACTTAAAGCAATCAATGACCCTTATATTGACTTATATATATATAGTACATTATAATGCATTATAAGGCATTATTAAAATATTATGAAGTATTTCAACTATGATAATTATAATACATCATCATACATTGTGATACTTGACCTTATATGTTATTATGCAATGCTTTAAATGTGTCGGATTATTGTTATGTAAATATGAACATGCAGGTAAAAAAAAAACAGTGTAAATTACATAAGTATAGTACTCAATGTGTGTGTGTGTGTGTGTGTGTGTATATATATATATATATACAGTATATATACTGTATATAAAATAAAAAAATTTGCTCTATGTTGACCAACTATAACATACAAAGATTACATCCATAATCAACTAATAACATAATCTATTTAATCATTCAACTCTAAAAAGGAGCCACAAAATAGTACTATTACTTCTGATACACTGAGTACATTTTCTGATAATACTTCTGTACTTTTAAATGTATTTTTTACACTGCAGTATTTACTGTAAATAATGCATAGAACGTGTGTCAATATGTTTTAATAATGTTGCTGAGTTGTAGAATAGAACTAGAATGATGGATTCATCTGAGGCCACAGCAGGGCATCATTTGCATATTTATTTTTAATGTGACCTTTATTCAACCAGAACATCTTCCCATTGAGATTCAAGCAGGAGTCTTGGCCAAGACGGCAGAATAAGATGCTTCACCTAAAATAACAATTCATCAAATGTTAATCTGTTCTTATTATTTTAATGCTGGAAGCTGAGATCTTTGCATTACTGTACTTCACTGTAAACAGACTCAGATCTTTACAATAACATAAAACTAAGAAAAGCAGGAAATCCTCACATTTGAGTAGCTGGAATCTGTGAATCTTATTACTTATATTATTCTGTATCAATGGTTATGTTTCATTTATGTTCAGCACCAATCAGCTAATGGAGGCATTTCACAGCATTTGGAGCTAAAAGGAAGTAAATATATCGATCTTTTTATTCACTTCACAGAGTGAGAGGGAGAAAGTTTCAGCATAATAATTTGGATTCAAAATATTATTCTTACCATTAGTCCCTAGACGACAACGCTGTCCCATGAAAAGCACATATCTCCAACTGCTTCATGAGCGAGGACAGTTGCGTCTCTGTGACGAGGCCTTTCAGCAGATACTTTATTATTTATTTTGACTAACAAGTAGGACCAACTTCTTTTACGCCAGAATCTCTTCAATACTAAATTATTATATTATATTATTACAATTCCTTTTGTGCAAAACCTCCGTTCATAAATGTCAATTTACAGGATTTGATGCTATTTTTCTGCAAGAAAACAGATTGATTTGATGTGTTCACATGATGGCTGGATATTCTTGCATTTCTTCATCATGGTGTATCGACGTGTGTGGATGTGGACGCTTCCCTGCACTTTGAGACAAAATGCATTTGTGGAAAAGCAGCTTTTAGCCGCAGAACACACAACTGATTGATTTATTGAGCCTTATGCATTAGTGTTCGCACATGTGTGTGTGTTTGGTGCATTATGCATCATTATGAGTGTCATGAGCGGATGTGACTGCCTTTTACTGATAATGGATGACTGTTATGATGCACACACACTCACATATACATGGAAACACACACAATTTCATGAACACTGAAATATGCACAGGTGCATACATGACAACATGCACTATGCTGTTGGTGCACACACAGGTACTATATGTGTGTAAACACCAGGGTTATCGTCATAAACTAAACCTAACTGAACCTGAATAAAAAACGATTTATTCTTTAATCCTTTAAATGTAACCAAGCAGCTCAGCTCTACTGTTAATCAGCTGGGTTGTTTCTCCTGAGCCTGTTAGTGTAAGAGTTCTCAAGTTGATCCCTTATCAGAAGATTTAAACATTCACAGTCCTCCAAGCCAGCCTGTTCTCACTCCCATTGGTCAATGCTGCTCTGCGTCTGATACCGACGGACCAGTCACCTTTTAGTATCGGAATAAGACGCACAGGGCTTTCAGCTCACTCCAATGCAAATCCATCCACATCATCATTAGGCGCTCAGAGAAACTGTTGTAAAAGTCTGTAAAAGTCCCCTCGGCGAGGAGGACGGGGAGGACAGTTGGATCAAACAAACCCAACCACCAAACCACAGTATTCTACTTAACCCAACCAAGTAAACCTAAAAACGACTTAAACCTACGTTGGTGTTGGAAGTTTATTTTGAAATGTATGCACGTAACAGGCAGGCATGGAGGTTTATTTTAAAAAGACACTGTGCATGGGCAGATAGTGAGACATTGTCCCCCTGTCAAGGCCCCACCCCTTCTCCATAAGAACAGGAGCCACAGAATCAGAGAGACATCTTTGTAGACATTTTCGCGTGTAGTCAGACCCAGGGGCCCGACAGGTTTAGAGGGCCCAGTAGGCCCGTTCAGCAAACCGAATATGCGTGTAAGGACTTGACGCGCCGTTCCTGATACGTCCAAACCTGACAGAGAGGAACCGAGAACTAGTTTAGGACCACTGACCAAGCGTTGGTATCGGACGAGTTGGGAGAGAGAATGTGTTGTAATTTGTATTTTTATGTAACTACATACTTGTGGGGTATTATAACTGTCCCTAACAAAGACACACAAACTAGTGTAGCAGTATACAAACTAAAACTAAAGCTTTCTGAAAAACAAACTAAAACTAGCAAACACACTCTGAAACTAAACTATAACCAGTCAAAACTAAAGTAAAATAAATAGAAAATTCTAAACTATTACAACCTTGGTATACACTGGCATGTGTTTAACGAACACACACACACACACAGGCCAAGATCCATCCAGTCGCTCCTGCTTTATTATTAAGGAAGAACTTTATCCAATCACATTCCACCGCAGGCTCAGATCAATACATGTCACTGGTTGATTATTGGAACATCAGCATATTGATATTTCAACTAATACTCAAGGCAGCTTAGAAGGTAAACAATAGAGACCCATGTGCCTGTAGGACAATGCTTTAACTGAGAGGTAAACCCAAACTGTGGTCATCGCAGGGGTTCAAAAAGAAAGCGTCCATCAGCTTCAGCCGCGGCCGTTTGCTCACTGATGGTTTGGTGTGATTAGCGTTGATATGGAAATCAGCTTCCCTGCCTCTATATCTGTATATCTGTGTAGGTGTGGAGCAGGAGAACGTGCTCTCCAGAGAGTGTTGAACATTTCCATTTCACACTTGTTTCATTTTCAATAGGGAAATGATTTACGTTTTATTTCATCATTTGAATCCTTTACATGAAATTTGAGAGCTGAAACAGTCCAACGCTGTTTGTTTCTCAGTGTGACCGTTAAAAAAATCAATGAATATTATCTTTCTTTGTTTTATACTAACCTTGAACTTAGACAGACACGTATGTTGAGAAAGGTGATGTATAAATAAAGTTATATTAACCTGGAACAACCCGGGCAGAAAAACTACCAAAAGCTGAACATCTAAAGGCTAACTGAGCACCAAACATTCAGAAATCACACTCCATCTTCTCTCCTTCTCTCCTTCCATCTTCTCTCCTTCCTTCTTCTTTGCGGTCACTAGGTGGTTGCCCTGGGCGACACCCCCGATGGCACCCTGGTAACGGTGATGGCAGGAAATGATGAGAACTTCTCTGCTGAGCTTCGCAACGCCACAGCCGCCATCAAGAACCAAGTGGCCAGATTCAACGACCTGCGCTTTGTCGGCCGCAGTGGAAGAGGTACACACACACACTGGAGTGTTCTCATTCTGTGTCCGTACTTACATTGACTGTAAATGATCAATAACCCCCGTAATCATGAGCAGGACGTGCTGGCTGCCTCTACAGAAGTCAGGAGTATAAAGAGCAACACAGTACATGGAGAGAGGAAGTCGAGATGGATGGACGGGTCAAAGAAACAAGACTTTCACCCAGGAGTCAACGTTTACTTGTTCAACTTACTTTTGTTACATAAGTTATATATTTATTAAGTTATGTGACAAACTTATTTCAGCCCAAAACCCAGCCAAGTGGTTTGGTTGTCTCAACAAGTTATGGTCTGCAGGGGTTTGAGTAGGACTGATCTCTCATGTTGCGGAACGTTCAAATTATTACTTTTTGTATCGTATCATACCAACGATACGACACATTGTATGAGGAGACGTTGCACACACATAGAAACACACAAATGCAAAAACAAAGAGATACGAATGCTGATCTTTGCCGTGGACTCATTTTGCAGAGAGCACCATGATCTAGAGTGCCACTAACACAAATAGAGTAAGAGCAATGTCAGCCAATCTTACTCTGGTTGAAGTTTAATACGTGTGTTTTGCACAACCACACAACACAGCGGATAAATTAGGGGAAGTACATATGAATAAAAACAGTATTCACACAACTTCCCCGTAACTCTTCATTCAACGTCTACCCCGCTCTCCCCCCCTCTCCCCCCCTCGCTCTCTCTCTTTAACGGACACACTAGACCACAGTTACACTAAATCAGTCACAGGCAAATGTCCCAACTAATCTATTTAAAACAGCCGTCCTGTGTACACACACTCTGCGAACACTCACATGAACTTAATCCCCAGCTGAATGGAAATATGGGAATAACTGTCAATATTTTACAGATTCCACAGTTCAGCCTTTGAAAAAATAGCATACTTAATTTAATTATTGTGCAGTAGAATTCAAATGAAGAACGATGATGTGTAGAAATTTGTTTTCATGCAAATTTAACTGCACAGAATACAATGAGGTTCATTCTCCCAGCATCACACAGTATTTTAAGAGGCAAAACAAAGCTGATCACAGTGGTTAATGCAGGGAACCACGAGCTAATTCATATGTCTTCTCTGTAAATATGAACTATATATATATATATATAAGTGCTCTAGTGAGTATTTGTGGCAGTGGAATGATTGCATTATATCATCGATGTCAGATTTGGTGCACAAAATTGATTTTGCAAGCACACGTATTATATATATATTATATAAGAGAAATCATACACAAGAAAAAAGTTATTTTGTTTGAGCTAACAAAAATCGTATCTGTTTCTAATCCAATTAGTTTGCTAGAACTATCTACAGCATCCCGGAAGAATTATGAAAACATATCAGATTGAGTCATTGATGTGTTTTTAATGGAGCTCTATGGCACACAGGAAGTGGAGATATCAGGCGTTGATACACACAATACTTGTCAGTCGGATTCATAGTATATTGTTGGTTTGGGATTTGTTGACAAGAAGAAACATAGAAGACTTATCTGTTGACTTTTGGCTTCTTGACAGTTTCTGATTTCTGCTAGTCTTGTCTCTCGCTCGAGATGTGACGATGCGATAAAAGGGTATTTGGTGAAGGGTCCAGGACATTTGTAATGACAATGTAATGTAACATTTCCAAGCCTAGTCACCAGGAATAAATGTTGGCATATTACGTTTCTGCAAATCAGGGACAAAAAGTTTTTGCATTTGCTCAGAGCAAGGGACAAAGTACAGCGAACATTTCGTTGTGCCGCTACGTTGTGCCGCTACGTTGTGCCGCTACGTTGTGCCGCTACGTTGTTCCGCTACGTTGTTCCGCTACGTTGTTCCGCTACGTTGGGCCGTTACGTTGGGCCGTTATTTTGTTATGTTATTATTTAAACAAACCATTAACTTTTTTCTAACCTTTGAGGTTTTGTTGCCTAAAGCGGCGACATTCAACGAATCCGAAAACATTTTTCCTGGAGACCGGGTTGTGTATTGTAGATTTTGAGCTGAGTTTCCATCTAAAACCTGTAAAATGTCATTAACTGTCTGAGTGGGAAGTGGTCAGTTTAGCTGCCGACCGCAATGAATGGTTTAGTGGTTTGACTAGTGGTTTCTGTGTGTGTGTGTGTGTGTGTGTGGGAGTCAGAGTCAACGTTCTCAAACATACTCATCATCAGTCAGTGTTCCCTGTTTTGCAGAAGCACTTAGTTACAACACCCGGCGACACTGATACACTCAGTACACAGTGCTCATGTCAATGTAGAGCTGCTGTGTGGATTTGCATATCAGTAGCTCCTCACTGAAGTTATAGAAACTGCTTAACTAAATCCTATTCCTCAAGGTTTTGACTTTAGATACAAACTCTTAACTTGGTCCTGCTCCACCCCCAACTCTCTGAATGTCCTCCTTAGGGAGGTCACGGTACCAGAAATGTAGAAGTTGATACCAATACCAGTGAAATTACAAGATCCTTAATTCCCAAATTGATACCACAGTAAAAAACAGAACAATAAATCCTGCGTACTTCAACATACACTCCTTTGTTACAGTTTGCATACTGGTTTTGGTGAATGTGACAGTGATCTTTCACCCAGGACATTGCTGTTTGTTCCCCAATGTGAAACGAGAAGTCAATGTTCATTTATTTGTCGCCTAACTTGCGTAATGTAGTTACGGCGCTTTGTAGTTATTTTAACCCAAACCATCTTTTCCTAAACCTAACTAAGTAGTTTCCTATGAAGATGGAAGTTTATTTTGAAAGACTATTTTCATGTAGCAAGCAGAAATTGACACGTGTTGCTGGCTTTTGAAGAAAAACGCATTAAAAATGAGGAGTAACTTTTATTAAATATTATACAAATCATTGTATGAGGAAGTGTTGCTGCGGTACCTGTGGTACTATAAAAAAATGAGCACCATCATGTTTTCAGAATTGTTCCATTGACATGGTACCGAAGTATCGGTTCTCGTGACATCCTCCTTCTAACTCACCTCTGATGTTTCAAACATCACAATATAAACAGTGATATTGCTGATTTAGTGATGATATAAGAAAACCAATCATTTCTTTCAAGTCTGGTGAAACTAAACCGGATAATGTGAAAACAGCCTTCTGTCCACAAGAAGCTTTTCCTAAAGACTCTTCAGAGTGAATGAAGCCGTGATCAGCAAAACACTGCAGGCCCTTTATTCATATCAATGAGAGCACTCACTTCACACAATGCACACAGCTCCCATCAGTTTGGCATCTGACCAAACTTCAAACTCATTAATCTGGTTCTTAAACCAGGATCATATTTCATCATCTCATCCGTACCTGAAACAACATGACCCCACCAACAGTCTTTTTATGACGCAGTGCTGTGAGACGACTCAGACATGGTCCACCTCCATAGCCACACAATACAACGCTTGTCATAAACCTGTGTATCTGTTTATTTTGTCAGGTGACTTTGCAATAGTAAAATAATGATTCGGTAATTAGCATCTTAAAGCAGACACTTGGTCTCGTGTCTTGTGGATCCACGATGACAAGCTTCCTTGCTGCTTTCTTGCTAGTAGCGTAGCTCGCTAACTGGCTAATGGCTGCTTCCTCTCTGGTTTGGAACAGTTGATTATGTTTTTCCACCCACGTTGTTGTTGGATGTGAAATTGATAACGCGATTGTATTTACACTATAGTTACACACATCTGTCATGTCTTGTGTGTTTGTTTCCTGGTTCAGAGTACTACTACTAATGTCTGTGTAGTTGTGTGTGTGCAACCAGGTTTCTGTCTCTCTTTTAGTTCCGCTTTTA